GCATGATTGGTTTTACAGACACTCTTTAAAGCTCTGAAACAAATCAATTGAGATAACTTGCTGAAGTAGGAAAATACTGATGTTTTAGAGCTTATATAATAATAATGGGGAACATTTCCATTTTCCATCCTGGCTTTCTAGACAGATCCACCTTTAATGAAAAGTTTATAAAGTGATTTTTCTTTGTCACAGATAATATATATATATAGTAAGAGAGCCTTTCTTCTTCTTCTTGTTTTCTGTGTGGGGCATGGTAAGAGTACTGTGCCTACTTCTTGCTATAAGCCCTGAGAATTTTTATGCTCACTAGCCCCCTCTCCATGCTGCTGAGTTTCTAAATTCACAAAAGGGTGTAAACTAATAATAGACCTATAAAATGTAGAAATGTTGGTTGATTCTGAAAGAATTTGAACTATGATTCAATATGTGCAGGTTCTTTGAATCAGAGTTGCTCCCCAACATCCAAGTCTCCTGGGATGAAGTCCAAATGGAATATTTGCGATGAAATATGCTCCTGTCTTCTTTGTTTATCCTGCTAGATATGCTAGATATTGCTCAAGCTTGTCTCAGTGGCTTTACTGTGGACATCACTGTAGACGCTCTTATGCACACATGTAGACAAGCAGCACATGAAGAAATGCATCTTGGGCTTCCCTTCCTAAACTACCTTCAATGTTGCTATGACTTTAATTAAAAAAAAAAACAAAAACAAAAAACATTGACCCCCATTCTAAAATTTGGTGCAAATCCTCCCTTTTCTCTCCTCAACCCACTATTCACTCTTTTCTAATTATCTTTAGTAGGATATACACTAAGCCTGTAGAAAATATATTAAATCCTTGGGTTCATAGAAAAAACACAAATATTAGTTTCAGTGAAGGTGTATTGAATCTGTGGTGGGCAAGTGACTATTATAACTCCTTCTTGTCCCTGGTGCCTAAATTGTACAAGCCCATCTATACCTCTTTAGTTTAACAAATGATCAAACTACCTGTCAGTTTTCTAGTTGAAGTTGTAGGAAAATACTCGAGAGTTGATTTGGGGACTTTCTTGTGAGGATGTAGGGTCCCACAAAGAGCTCAGCTAGATTTCATGTGCATCCACATACTTAGTAATGTGCCTTTGGGAAATTAATAAGTATCCTCTTGCCCTAGTTTTCATATCTGTAAAATAGAAATAATAACTTGTGAAGTATGTTTGCAGATTTATTAAAGTGGCTATCACAGTCTGTTAGAAGGTAGATGTTTAATTAATGCACTTGCCTGTTTTCCTTGTTAGAGTATATGCTCTGTGAAGATTTATGTTTTCTGTTACTCCTGTGACTTCCCAAAGCACATTACAGTGATCTACACATGGTAGTTAATGTTCACTGAATCATGCTATCCAATGAATATGGAATTCAGTAAATGCTCCAGCCACCATGGGATTGGCAGTTATGCATCGCTCAGAACACTAGCCCCTGGGGAAGACTGATGTCTTTTGCAGGCATCAACACCAAAGTGTGGTTCAAGTTTAAATGCTAACAAGAGAATCCAAGGTTTTTGTTTTATGCTGAGCTGGTGCTATGATTTGATCCTAGTTAGAGTCAGGACAAGGGCAGCATAAAGGAAAAACTGAAAGAATTTATTGACTGAGGAGATGTAATCTATAGATTTATGGCGAGATGAATGCAGCTTGATTTGTGGAGGAAAAGTGTGCATGCTTCTCAAAGGCATTAAACTCTAAGTAATAGAACACCCAGAATCCCTAGCAAAGATTGATAAGTTTCTGAAGGGGTTATCTAGCACTGTAAATCATGGAAACCCATGCTATGTCTTGCTCAAAGATATAAACTTAAACAGCAACAATGAAAAACAATAAATAAGTGGCTTATAGGTATTACACATCAGAGAAGAGGTCAACCAGGTTGTTAGGCATGGAGAGTTCAGAGGTCACTGTAGTATAGAATGTTGTATATTTCTTGTGTCTCTTCTGGAAATGGCCCTGCCAGAGAGTTGACTCCTTTCATAGGTTTATTTTGACTAATTAATGATAAAGAGTTGGAGGTAGGAAGTGGATGTGGTGCTATTTTTTCTTTTTTTCTCCTACAGTCCTACCTTAATATTTACAATGTGGTCTTAGAATGACTGTGTAATACCTTCCCACAGTTGGGAAACCCTTAAAGTAAGAGCATAGAGGTCTTTTTAATGGAACTCATGGGTTACCCCTATAGCCAAAAACTCAAATAAAGCACTTTTAGAGGGTTATCTAAAATATTTGCCTGCTCTGGCAGTATTCTAAGGAAGCTCAGCTCCCTCTTGTGGCCTAAAACCATTTATGGATTTGCTGTAACCGCCTTGGCTGTGCTCTTTAAGAGCTGTTAGTATTTTGTCAACTACACCTTGAGCTTTGTAACCTTTTCATTTCATGACTTTTGGCAGAAAAATAGACATGGTCCTAGAAGAACTGTGAGAAAAATATATCAACTTTTTTTTTTTCTTTTTTTTTTTTTTTGTTGTTGTTGTTTGTTTGTTTTTAACCTCTCATGCTTCCTAGCTTGGACTTCCCCCCTTTCTTGGGTGGAGGGTGGTGGGTTGTCTAACTCTCTCATTCTGTAATTCATTGTACTCATGCTCTCGATCTTCCTGTTATTTTTTTAAAAACTTACCCCAAGAAGTAAGAGAATAATAATGAGATAATAATTCCTAAGAAGTTACTATATGATTGGTTTCATTTGTTGAATAATTAATTAAAGGAATTAAATTGATTGATTGGAGTATTAAAGAATAAGAGATAAAATATGAGACCTATGAAAGTAGATATCATGTTTAGAAGTGGTACATCAAGAGGGCCAGAGGCTGAAAATTCAGATTGAAGAGTTTTACCTAATTTGCAGTCACTTTTAAAGTTCATCTCATTTCATAAAAATGTAAATTTGTGGCTCTCCCCGGTGGCGCAGCAGGTTAAAGTGCAGCACTGAGAAACTAAAGCCACTTCCGCATGAGTTCGATCCCTGCCTGCCCCGAGGTGACCACATGGTGTGGCAGACCTCTCCTGACCCGCCCGCGGCTCCCCTCAGCAGTGTATTTCGTCGATCTGCCTGTTCTGCTCCCCACTCTGTGTATGGTGAAACCTCTCACCGCCCCTGAGCCTCTGGACTGTACCCCAGTTCTGTATGCACAAATAAATAAATCTTTAAAAAAAATGTAAATTTGTGATAGTTTATGTTATTTAAAATTGGTAAGTTTTTTTAAGAATTTTTTTGGAAAGATTTACTTATTTATACTTTACAGAACTGGGCTACAGGCCAGAGGTGCAGGGACAGTTAGAGAATTCACTAGAGATAGTGAGGGGTCGAACAGGCTGACTGATGAAGTACATTGCTGAGGGGAGCAGAGGGCGGGTCAGGAGAGGTCTGCGGCCACCATGTGGATCACCTCCCGGGCAGGCGGGGATCAAACTCATGCTGAAGTGGATTATGCTGTGCTTTAACCTGCTGTGCCACCAGGGAGGGCCTAAAATTGGAAAGTTTTATATAAAAAAACAAATTTATTTCTGGTGTTTGAAAAATATTAGATTGATAGCATAGGCTCCACATTTGTTAAATCATTGGAAGCTGAATAAATGCCAACCACTGACAGCAAGCTCACATCTTCCACTTCACCATCGACCCTGTTCCTCTCTATAATCTTGTCATGACCATTTCCGTTTATTTGTACCTACTTGGCTTCTCAGAGATTAAGTTTGTGACACTGTCGTGAATCAGTTTTCAGGAGCAGACTGGAGTCTGAGGACCCTAAACAGACTCTTGGTTCTTGTCTTTGTCAAGGAAAGAATTCAATGTTGAGACCAAAGATACAAAAAAGCAAGAGATGTGTTGATAGATAAGAGAAAGTACAGGAAAGCTCTCCACTAGTGGAGTGGGGTCCCAAATGAGTAGCCAATTGTGGTAGCCAGAGGCAGGTGTTTATATGAATAAAGTGGGCAAGGAGTAGAGGTTTGACTATTGGGTGTCTCCATATTGTGTCTCCTGCGGATTGGCTGGGCCCATGAGGGTCTTCTAGGCTACCTAGGTCACTGAGTTGGTGGAGTTCTCCTTGACTACTGAGTTGTCACAGTTCTCCTAGACTATCCAGGCATACTGAATTTACCAGCATTTCCTGAGCTACCTCCTGAAACTAGCTTTGGTCCTTTGCTTTAGCATTCTGTTATGATGTTGGTATTCTGAACCCTCCAGTCAAACCAATAAATGGATATTGGGCACCTGGGCTTTGGGGCTGGAGGGGCTGGTAGGTTGTGGCACCCTCATGTGTCTAGCCAAGTGTTTCTCCATCAGGCTGATACGCGGACTTGGGGCTCGAGATGCCCTGACTAACTGATTGTCTGTACCATTCCCTGGCTCCCTCCTTGACTAGGCGTATAGCACATAATCCATTTGTGTCATTATTATAGTGGAGCTTTGGGATCTGTGCCACAGTGTTTTGTTTTTTAGCTGGTGAATTGCCCAGGAATAGTCCATGTCTAATAAGTTTGGAGAGTACAGTCCAAAGTAGTTCATAGAGCAGACTGACCTGGAAATCTCAGACTCTCAAGACTGAGGGAGGAGGGAAATACAAAACTGTAGGTATATTTCAACTTTATACAGTGTATCAAGTATGTCTAAGCAGCAATATGAGGAAAAGATTGACCAACATTTAGGCTATTTCTGAAGTTTTCATGTATTTTTTACTGGTTTGTTGATATCATTTGACACATACAACTTAGTCATGGAATATATCTGACCTCTCCAAATCCTGGTTTTTAAGCCCTTGAGGGACATTTCCTGCTCTAGATTTTTTTTATTCCTTTACTTTCCTCTTTTTATCCCTCTATTTCCAATATATAAAGCATATCAAAATGATACTTATTCTAGAACTCTAGGTATTTAAACAAAAGTTTCAACTCTTTCCTAGTTGCTGCTGTTTTTTTCCTTTGCTAGATAAGTATGGAACCCTGTGAAGCTTTTTACTTTCTCTTCTTAGGATATAGAATGAGACGACGACATGTCCTCATGGAACCGACAGGATCTGAGGGGCATTGTCCTCATCTGGTGGAATCTGTTCCTTGTGAGGACCCCATGTGTTACCGATGGCTGGCAACTGAAGGGATCTGTATTCCTGAGCATGGCAAATGTGGCCTGGGGCATCGCATCCTGAAAGCTGTCTGCCAGAATCACCAAGGTATGATTCACAGAATCCCAAGGATTGTTAAGTGCTATCAGTCTAATGACAGATCACCCCTTTCTACCAGATCGGCTTCCTGAGGGAGAGAAACACAGATATTGGTGTCCTTGAATATTTGTTGAAGTCAAGTGCTGAAATCACATTTAGAAAGTGTTTAAGTGACACATGGCTACAAAGTAAGCTGCCTTGACTTAGTACTGGACTACATACTCCGTGACAAAAGAACACTGATTGTGCCTGCATGTTATACAGTGAACCTAAAGATGGTTCTGGCATTTTAAATTATCAAGACTGACAGAATATGGAAATTGCTTGGATACTCATACTTATCATTACAAAACAAGTTTTATTTGAATTTCTTGAGGTCAATATGTAACATGCTTTTATGTATGATTACAAATATTACCTTGTAAAGATTCCAGGGCTGTGCCCACTTTTAGTTAAAAAGAAAAAAAGTACTAAGTAGTATCTTTTCATTTACATAACATGAGACTAGTATTAGTTCTAGACATAATGTTAAGATTTCTAAAGAACTGTTTTAAACTATAAACTGTCAAGATTTACAGACTATTAACAATGGTGTTTTTCCTTCACCATGAAGTTTCTAGTATAATGGTTATTTGAAATGAAGGATGATTTAGAAAACACATAAGTCACATGGAAATGAGAAATGTGCCAGTTGAAACCTTTATCCTACAGTTTAAAAAATATGAGTCTCGGAAAAATATCAAGTTTGTCTGTAATCAGCTTTGCCATGAGAGGCCCTGCTTATACTATTTTTGGTGTGTGGAATGAAATGTTTTGACTTACGGAGTGAAGTAATCCAAGGAACAGAAGACATTATCAAGTGGCTTCAGAATAATTATTAATATCCACACAGTGGGTGGCATTCAGCAAAGTCTTTGTTTCCTTATCCTTTTCTCCTCCAGATTTTCCTCCATTCTTTCCTCCTTCTCTTCTTTCCCTTTCCTCCACTACTTCCTTTTTTCCCTCCTCTCTCTTCTTTCTTTCCTCCTTTCTTTTCCTGTATTTTAGTCACTGTCATAATTAGATATATATTTATCATCTGATTATCTCATAATTGATTATCTCATAAAACCAGAAAGTTGCTGAATGAAATAGAGAACAAGACGAATTGTATTGGCTCTGGTCCTGTTTTCACTCACTCACCTCAGAAAAGTTATAGAATTTACAGAGATGTCCTTTCCTTCAGCTATCAAGTGGGGGTAATAAAACCTATTTTTCCCTGCTAGATTGTAAAATTGTAAGAATATAAATTAGTTAAATAAATATGATTAATGGCACACAATCACTTAAAATATATTAGCATATTTTACTTGCAATTTGTATTTATTACTCTGTCCTATCTTGTGGTAATTGTACAAAGAAAATTCTTCCAAATTGAAAATAACAACAAGAATTAGAAAAATAATACTATAGCTCTCAACCTCAAGCATTAGAAACAAGAGTGTTATTTTTGGTTAAGACCCAGTGACAAATGATTGTCATGCTCTGTCATCTCATAGCTGCCATTAAGGGCTTGTCATGACATACTATGTCACAAGTCCGAGATTTGTTTTGCAATTTGTTCTGTGCCTTCTAAAATATTGCAGCAGTATCAACTTTATCACTTTACAAGAGGTTAAAAGTTTTATTGCAAATTCCTGTAAAATGTCTAATTTTCAGCATTGACCTACACTCTCAATTTCTATGAGAAGTAGATGTGTTCCTATCAGTTCCATGAGGTCTTTGTGGTTTCTAAGTACCTGGATGACTCCCTCATCATTTGTGGGGCAGCAGTCATGATCAGATAGGAGAATCTGCTGTCCTCTGAGTAGCTGAAGCAGTTTTTTGTCCAGTGAGAAATTAGAAATGTGGTCTGGTTACATTTTTCAGTTTTGCTTCTATGAGATTCAGAATGATTGATGATAGAAGTTCGGTGGAGAAATGCTCCTGTCTTACTTTCCACATATTACCATAGTCTTTCTATAACTATAGGAATTGACAGAACTGTTGACAGTCATTTAAATGGTTGGACAGAAAAAGTGTTGAGATATAGTTTATGAACTTCCTGTGATTTTTCTTTCTTGTAACATTTGTAGGTTTTCAAAACTCTAATTCAATAATTGTTCATAGCCCAAATTTCAGATTTTATACATCAGTAAATGAACAAAAGCAAAGGACATGTTTTTTTTTTTTTTTCAAGATTTATTTATTTATGCATCCAAGAACTGGGGTACAGGACAGCGATGCGGGGATTGAGAAGCTTACCAGAAACAGAATGGGGAGCAGAACAGGCAGATCTGCTGAAATACACTGCTAAGGGGAGTAGCGGGCGAGAGACAGGAGAAGTCTGCCATGCTGTGTGGGTCACCTCCCTAGCCAGGGATCCTGCTTGTGCTGCATGGCTGCCGACAGCTTCATAGTGCTGCACTTCAACCTGTTGAACCACCAGGGAGGGCCCAAGACATGTGTTCTGTTTGATTAAAAAAAAAAAAAAAAAAAAAAAACTTACATTAAATTGAATTAGATTTGAGGCCTATACTTCGCAAGTGTAACTTGCTTTGTTCCTTATTTTAAAGCCTTGTCGATACCAATGTGCTTCATTTATCTACATATGGAACATACAACATCCCTGTGAAATATCTACATCCTATACAGACTATGGAGCTGAGATTTCCATATAGCTGTGCTCAGAAGTCTGTAGGTCTCATGACATTATCTTCTTGGGTATTGCTTATGCCACTAGGAAGACATATTTCTTTTGCCCAAAGTTTCAGCAGACCTTTATCTCAGAAACTAAAAAATTCAGTCAATGTCACATTGGGGCCAGAAAATAATTGGAAATAGCTATTTAATATACATAAACCTTATAGTTTATTTTAAGAATGGGGTCTATTTTGACCTACCTAAGATCAAAATAGTCATTTCTACAACTACCTCTGTCTGCATGCTTTGACACATTTCTACTTGAATATATTAATAATATTCTCCATTAAATCTCACTGAAATTCTCTTTTTTACCCAGTCAGGAATTACAGCAAGTGATGTTAGTCAATGATACCTATTTTCAGGAAGAAAATTGTATAATTTTCACATGACTGTGTATAATACATGTATAATACTCACATGACTGAGTAGTCTGCTTTGGAATCTGATGTCTAATAGTGTGATTGTGCTTGCCTCTGCACCGCATCTGATTCGTAGAGGTCAATAGAAGTCTATGGAGTATAGAGTATCCTTAGGTTTTTCTTATCTCATTGACAAGCACAATTTTTACATTTGTGAGGGGCATTTGAAGGTGAATGGAGTGTGACACAAAAGTAAGTACAACATCTTTCTACTTCAGATTACCAAGTGTTCACTGTTCTAAACATTTTTTCTCAAACATTTAAATGGCTCATTGTTACAGGTTTCACTGGGATTGATAAAGGTTTACAGCTATGTATCATTTTCTCAAGGAGGGTGAGAAAATCCTCATAGTATCAGATGAATGGACAGCATTCCTAGTGGCTGGCAAGGGAGCTAGTTAGCAACTTTCAGCTGTCCAAATTGCAATGTGGGTAGATGACACCACAGGGCCTCTGGATAAATATCAGACTGTCTGCTCAGTGGTCAGACTCTGAGTGCCCACCAGCTTTGCTCTAGAATTTGCCACATAATCTGTCATAGGAAATAAAGTGTCTATATATTTCTGCAGATGTCTTTATTCAGAGATAATGCTGTGTACATTTGTGCACTAGCTGAAAGCAGATACCCCTGCTGGTGAGGAGTGTAATCTATTAGGAAGAACCAAGTTCACATGTTGGCAGGCTCATGGAATTAGAGTTTTGGGTGTTTCTACCATAGCCTCTTGCCCAGTATATGTTTCACAGGTACACCAGACCTACCTATGCAAATCTTTAAGTGATTTATATATTTCACAGATATCTTGAGGGGAGATTTTGATCTTGCAGGTGATTTTACTTTTCATTTCAGAGGCACTTTTCTAAGTTCTTCTCTTGCATTACTGAACTTGAACAATCTTTATTATCTTGGCTAAAATGGCATGTGATTCTAAGCTCTGGCACCATAAATGCCTTTTCTGGATGACATACTTTGCTGAAAAACATACTTGAATACCCACTTAGCTAAGTTGGATTTACAACTTTTTAATGTTCTTAAATCTATGATTGGAGTTAAAATTATGTTTTTGGGTTTGTATTAGTTGGTTATTTGGTTATCTTTCAGTCTCAATAAATGTTCTTTGGCTTACCTGTAAAAATAAGCTCAAATTCCATTTGGATAACAAGTTATTTATCAAAATAATTTATGATTCACCAGAGTGCTAAAAAGAACTCTCTTGTTTTTAAGTCATTATTCTTTAAACCCTTTGATCATGCTGTTGGCTAACAAGTGCTGCTGTACTCAATGTATGTAGGTATATATATTTTCCTTACAAGACTTTCTAACTACTATTTCAGCACAATATGTTTTGTGTTTTAGGACAGAATTAGGAATAGTTTATTCATCACCTGACCAAACAAGTATATTCCTGCAGTGAATATACCTACTGAAGAGACTCTGCTAAAACAGAGAGCCTGCACAGAGAGTACAGAGGCTCTTGAATAAATTAGCATTGCATTTTTTTTATGCATACAAAACTGGGGTACAGGCCAGAGCTGCTGGGGAAGTGAAAGGAGTAACCAGAGACAAAAGTGGGGAGCAGAATAGGCAAATTCTGCTGAGGGGAGCAGCTAGCAAGACAGGAGAGGTCTGCTGTGCCATGTGGGTCAGCACCCTGGCCCCAGATCGAACTTGACTTGAAGTAGCTGCAAGTAGCTTCATAGTGCTGCTCTTAACCTGTTGCCCAGGGAGGGCCCACAGGATATTTTCATCAAAATAATGTGGCAAAGTGAACTTCAAATTAATGATAGAAGAGATTAGTCACTTTTTTCCCCAAGAGCAGCTCATGCCTAAGCAGCTGCAGATATTTTTTCAGTGCTGCACTTTAACCA